CCAACATCCCTTGACTTGTGATCCCATTATTCAAATCTCTGCTCAGTCATCACTTCCCATCTCCTCCTCTGTAGTTTAATCTTCTTCTGTCTCCCTCTTACAAGGACACTTATGATTACATTTAGGGCCCACCAACGTAATCCAGGATAATTTCCCCTTCTCAAAATTCCTAATCTCATCTGCAAAGTCCCCTTTGCCATATAAAGTAACATTCACAGGCTCCAGGGATTAGGATCTGGGTATTTTGAGGACCATTATTCAGTCTACCACAGTCTCTAATGTCTTTTACTTTCACCAAGGCATTTCAAAATGGAACGTTCCTAACTTCTGTGCTTCTTAAAATTGCCTAAATAGAATTTATTTAAACTGTTTCAAATATCATGCATTAAACATTCCCCTAATAATCTTTTTCTCAGTCCCCACTTGGATCCAGAATTATCAGCAGTTTTCAGCACATATTCTTGCCTTCTGCTTTCACTGAAGTTGAGGCCCTTTGACTTTCTTCCTTTTTATTTAAAAATTTCTTTGAATCTCCACCTGTTCATTCTTTTTCTAATTTATCCCAAAAGATGAAATGCTCTTCCTGTATTCTAAGCCCAAGTCTTCTCTCACTTTTGATGCTATCCACTAGTACTTTCTCTAGTATTTCAGCCTATCTAACATACCTTTCTTTTCCCCTGATTTTTAATTTTTATTTTGGTGTCAATCTTTTTGGTCACTATTCTTCTCCATAATTTAAACACTCAATTCACCTCTCCTAGAAAAACCTTCCCTTGACTCTGGCATCCTTTCAACTATTATTCCCTCTATTCTTCCTTTAGCCCCTAAACAGCTCAAAAGAATAGTCCACAATTGTTGCTTCTGGCTTGTCTCCAACTGATTCGTCAACTGCTTGTTTTTATTTTCACTAATTTATATAGACTGTAAATCCAATTACCTTTTATCAGTTTTCATCTTAATTGATTTCTGTGAGACATCTGTCATTTTGCACTACAATCGCTTTCTTGAAAATATATCACTGGTTTTTCTGAAAATTGAATTATGATCATTTTTGCCCTCTTAAACTTCTTATTCTTCTATCACTCTCTATTCGTTCACATATTGAATAGCTACTATATGCTAAAGATGAATCATAACTCTCTGTGAAACAGTCACTAATTTCATTTGTTAGTTCCTTTTTTAGTCTTCACATTAAAATTAGGGCTTCCACAAGGTAATTCCTTCTGTTCACATGTGTTTCTCCTTAATTTGGCAACATTTTTATATGGCTGCTTAACATTAATTTATATTTTTTTATTCAGTCAATAAATATTTATGGAGAGCCTACTATGTGCTAGGTGTTATATCATTTGCTGGGGATGGTGAACAAAAAAGTATATTTCCTGTCCTTGGGGAGTTTATAAGTCAGAGTGAAAGTAGATATTAATAATCACAAAAAGAAATGTATAATTATAAACGGTAAAAGTACTTTATATAAAAATGAACACTGAGGGACATAAGGTGAAACTGAGGGTAAAGGTCAGGGGGGTCAGAGTCAAGGAAGGGTTTTCCAGGGATTGATGTTTAAACTGAAATCTGAAGAATGAGAAAATTCCCAGGTATAGCAACAAACATGTTAAAAGGCCAAATGGTGAGAATAGGGTGTGCTTAAGGAAATGCAAAGCTCTATGGTTTGATAAAGCTGGAACCAGAGATTGGGGGGTGATGGTGGGGTAGAGCATGGTATAAGACAAAACTCCATTCTTAATGACTTAATTGTTGTAAGAAGACAGTATTAGTGAGCTTAGGCTCACTAATAACAGAATACTATATACTGGATGGCTTAAACAACAGAAAATTTCTCACAGTTCTGGAGGCTGGATCTGAGATCAGGGTGCCAGCATAGTCAGATTCTGGTGAGGGCTTTCTTTCTGTGTTGCACAGGGCTGCTTTCTCTCCATGTCCTAACTTGGCAGGGAAAAGTGGGGGGAGAGAGGGATTGCCCTCTTCTAATGAAGTCACAGTCCTACTAGTCCCACCCTTATGATCTCTTTTAACCTTAATTACCTTCTAAAGAACTTATCTCCAGATTTAGTCACGTTGGAGGTTAAGCCTTCAACATATGAATTTTTATTTTTTTGGGGGGGGGACACAATTCAGTCCATTAAAAGATCACCTGAAAAGTCATGAAATGATTTACAGCAGTGAGATGACATGATCACATTTGACAAGATAACTCAAGATAACTCTAGAGAATGGACAGAAGAGATACAAAAGTGGGCATGAAGGACAGTTAAGAAGTTTTTGCAGTAGTTCAGTTAAATTCAGACTGAGTTCACTGCGGTGCTCTTGGGATGTAAAGCAATTCCAGACTTATACAGGAGATAAAACTAAACCGGATAGTAATTCATTTGATATGAGAGTGAAGTTATAAGTGATACTAGGGACGGTGCTTAGGTGTCTAGATTGACACCAACTGAATGAGTGATGGAGCCATTCAAAGAAATAGGGAAACTAGAAGATACCAAGTGTGGGGGTAGGATCATGAGCTCAGTTTGGTAGATGGTACATTTCAGGTACCTTTGAGACATTAAATGTTTAACACTTTTGAATGATCATTGTATTTCATCAGTGATTAATACTAAATGCTGAAACAAATGTCATCTAAGTACCAGTGCCTTAACACAACAAAAGTTCCAGTTCTTTGAGTTGACATGATAAAAGGTATAATCAATACTGTAATGTTCCAAAGAAAGCACAGGTGAAAGGACTGGTGCTAGACTTGAGTGTAAACAGCTTCCCTGTTGAAGGAAGGTGCCCAGTATGCTGCACTTTCCTGCAGACACCCTGCATTTAGTATTTCTAAATCAGAACTCAGTATCTTTCCCACATAATCTGCAACTGCTCCTGTATTGTCTAATATTATTAATATTGCTATTCTCCTCAACCATCCCACAAAACCCTCATTTCTTCCTCACTTTTCTCCCAAAATCTATTCCATTACCAATTTTTATTGATTTTATCTTGATAATGTCTCTTGAATCAAAGCCCTCCTTCTATTTCCATTGCCAATAAATGAGTGCATATTTTTATTACTAGCTCAAATGACACTTCTTGAAGCCTTGTCTCTTTCTCCCAGCTAAATAAACTTTTACATATCTCACAGAACTAAAGGAAAGAAAGCAGAGATAATAATGAAAATTTTCTTACTATGTTATGGATCATCCTTATGAAAGTGTCCTATTACTCAAAACATTCCATTCTTTACAATCCTTAGTGGGCCTCCCCCCCTTCTTCTTTTTCCCTTTTATTATTCTAAAGAAATGTGTTCTAGGCCAGGCACAGTGGCTCACACTTGTAACCCTAGCACTTTGGCTAGGCAGGGTCACTTGAGGCCAGGACTTCCAGGAGTTCCACACCAGCCTGAGCAATTATAGCAAGACCTTGCGACCTCCTCTCTACAGAAATAGAAAAATTAGCCAGGTGGTGGTGGGCACCTTCAGTTACACTTACTCCAGAGGCTGAGGCAGGAGGATCACTGAGCCCATGAGTTGGAGGTTGCAGTGGGCTATGATGATGCCACTGCACTCTAGCCAGGGCAACAGAGTGAGACCTTGCCTCAAAAAATACATACATACATAAAAAATGTGTTCCATATAATTATTTGCCCAATATATATAATACAGCACCTGAATTGCTAAATAAATGTGGATTTACCATATCCACTAAGTCAGCCTTGTAGATGGGCTGATATTTAGAAATGCAATAAATTTAGCATCTATTTGGATTTGCTTTGATGTAAGACTTCTGTTTCCAATATAACATTTTGGTTGCCCACAACTTCCTGGTTCTAAAATCTCTTGAGCAGCACGGAATGCCAATGAAATTTGTATTTTTTATAAGGTTGAGAAGTCGCTTGCATATGGTCTGGAACAACTTCTCAATACTTTCACTTCTTTTGGTCTAATTTATCTGCCCATCAAGAAGAAAGCTTCAGATTATCAGGTAAAATACGCCCAAACGGGCAGTTAGAGCGAGTACGGACAATTCGTGTGGACGCACGGTCTCCTTTCACTTGCTCATCCTCGGTCCCTGAGGTAGCTGTTCGCCGGCGTGCTCCCCTGTCACCTGGCGCACCTACAGACCACGCCCTCCGGTCCTCCCAGAGCCGCGAGGCCAGCTGGAAGCGCGGGACACCTCCTTCCCCTGCTAGGCGTCAGCCCCACGCCCGCCCCTGTCCAGAGGCATCTCCGGCCCCCTCGCGCCCTGGCTCCGCCCCCTCAAGCTCCCCAACGTCTTCGGCGTCGGGCTCGAGCCTGCGCCTGCGCGTGCGCCCTGAGGCCAAAGTCGGGGCGCGCGTGGCTAGAACCCGGAGAGCGGCGGGTGGAGCAGCCAATGGGAGGCGGCGCTGCCTAACGGCTGGGAGGCGGGGCCTGCGCGGGTGTTAGGTTAGCGCGAGGCGTGACCTAGTTGACAGGCTCTGAGGTGCTGCTGTGGCTGCGGCCGCGGGGCTGAGGCGGGTGGGAGCCGGAGCCGGAGCCGAGCGCAGGCTGAGGGAGGAGGGCGGCGACTGGAGAGCGGCGAGTGGTGCGGGACGCGGAACGTCTTTCACTTTTTCCCTCCCGAGTGCCCCCTCCCAGCCCTCCCACTCCACACACACCCTGTTTGCCCGTGAGCCTGGGGAACTTGCAGCTTAAAGCCAGCCACCCCCACGGCAACATGTACCCCAGCAACAAGAAGAAAAAGGTGTGGAGAGAGGAGAAAGGTAACCGGCCCGTCGAGTCCTGGGGGTGCGGGGGATGTGGGGTTGGGGTGGGGGCGGGGGTCAAGCTGTGTGTGTCGCGGCGCCCTCCGCCCGAGCTCCCGCCTCACGCCCTCCCGGCCGGTGCCGCCTCCCTCCGGTGTCCGTGTGTGCACAGGCGCGCGCACACCGGCGTGCACGCGCCGCCCCCGGGCACCTGCAGCTCGCGCACGTGTGAGCGCACGCCCCTCTCTGCCACCCTCCGCGCCGGTCACCTTCTCCCTAGGCGGGGCTGCCTTCGCCTCTTTCGCGGCGTGGAGCCCCGCGCAGCAGCCCCGGGGCGGCACAAGTTTCTGTGAACCCCAGATGGGACTTTGGCACGCCCAGCTAGGGTGTCCCGTGCTGGTGGGCACTCGGGTTAGAGCTGCTCCTGCGCCACCTGCACCCTATTCCTTTCCCCCCAAACTGGCTAAGTGTCCCCATTTTTGGGGTATTTTCCCCATTTCTGGGTCACCCTTCGCCGCCGCAGTGAGTTTTGAAACCTGGAACTCCGGGGGAAACCTGAAACGAGCGTTTTGTCGGTAAAGATAAGTGCCTTCCGAGAAGTCTGAATGGGCTTTTCTCCCAACAGTGTGTTTCTCTATATTCCATCCCCATTCATGGACTGAAGTAGCACAGAGTAAGACTGTGTGACTAATGTCACTCTGTGAATGAACCCATCCTTGAATTTTGTGCATATCAAGGTTCATCCAAATGGGCTAGATTGGCAGTGGCACTGATTGCTTTAGGAAACAGAAGTTTGCCATCCAGACCCCGTCCCCCTCATCTCTCACTCTCTCCACTTCTATCTCCTCCTCTCCCTCCACTCCCTCACAGTTGGATTATATTCTGATGTAAAACTTGACTGGCATTCCCCCTTTCCTTTTCATCCCTCTTTTCTTTAATTCTTTAGCTTTTTCCAGAAATGTAGCAAAAAGTACTTGCATTGCTAGTGTTAAGATACAATAAATCTGTATATCAAAGGTGAGGACGGCTGAGGGTAGTGCACTCTTCTACTGAATATCCCATCTTCTTTACAGAGGAAGGATAAAAGGATGACTAGGTTGAAAGTTGATTACCTTGATAATAGGTCTTTAAAACCTGTAGATTTTTATTGCAAAAATCCTGGCCTTCATGAGCATGAAGGCCCAACAGTGGCCTGAAAAGAAAGGGAAATTATGTGGAAGAAGGGGAATTAATGTTGGAAAAAAATCCTCTATATTGGGCCTACTTCTAACAATGCAAGAAGAAAGAGATGAGGAGGGAATTTTTTTTTTTTTCCAAATTAACTGCAGGATGATTTAACATAATATAACTGAACAACATAATTAAAATGCTCTTTAAAATATTAAAAGTTTAGTTTATATGTCATTTGACATATTTTTAATGATTATGGACATGTAGAGAGCTAACAATTCTAGTTTCACAAAACAAATGCTGTTAAGAGTAATAGCCTGATGTATAAAGTAGTGTAAGAGAATTTTGCTTTGTCTTTGCAGTAGCAGTTACTTCAGTTTCAACACACTTTCAGCAAGCATTCACCTTGTGAGCATTGAAAAATCATTTATGCCCATTTTTATTAATGGTCTTGAAGTGTTAGCTTTCTATTATTGATGATAATGAGGGCAAAATAGTGGAAGACATAACCATTGTTTTCAGTAACAGGAATCATTAATGAAATTATAGTGAGTACTTAAGAACTATTTTTCTGGCATAGTAGAAGAACAATGTTCCTAAAGTAACAGTGTTATAATGGTTCCTTCATTTAACATCTACACAGTTGGACTGTTACAGCAGGCATTTAGAATCCTTTTTTAATGTCTATTTTTACTTTCTATTTCTTCTAATGGGGAAAATATGACCACATTAATATTTTCTAAGAAAGCAAATGCACAATTAAAGAAGGCAATTAACAAAGTAATTATTCAAAATGAAGCTATTTTTCTCTTCTCTAAAACTAGTTATTTGTGCATGAAGTTTAATGTTAAAGGAAAAAGTTATGATTACGATTTAAAAACTTTAATGAATATCTATGTTTTATCAGGAGGTCTATTTTGGGGATATTTAAATGTAAAAAATATTACCAAGGAAGAGCTAAGGACTTCTGGTACAGTGGTTAGTATTAAAGAAGCTGATGGGATGCATGACCTTTTTCCTTTCATCCCACTGGAGAGCTGATGGTATAGTATTTTTATAGCTGTCCTTTAAATCTAAAGGAAGACCTACCCACCTCATTGAAATGTCAAGGTATTCTATAAACATATTTTTAACTCAGTATATCATCTAATAAGTAGGTCTGCCTGCTTGTATGCTTGGTTCACAGAGAAAGGATTCATGTCAAGGTGAAGCATTCTTTAAAGAAAAGTTTTATATAATGCCAAAAAAACTGCATATATGTCTGTGGTCTTTAGTATATTTCATTTTTTAAACAAATAACTGAGGAATTCTTAAGTCCACATATGTTAAGTAAATATTGATCTAATATTTTAAGCCCTAATTCAGAACCACTTATGTGCATTTTCATTATGTGTATTGCAACTTATATTTATGCTATTTTATTGTTTTACAGTTGATCTTGTTTTTATTCCAAGTATTCACACTTAAACTTTTAAATAAATGGGATGCCAGAGGCCAGGTTGCATTCCTATATGTTATCTTTGACATTTATAGAACCTATATGTTGCTTCATAATGTCTTTTTAACCTGCTAAGTAATATTATAATGATTCCATATTCGTGATCTGAGTTTTTATAGTAGTGCTTTGGCAACTGCTAGTCATCTCCTTTTTCTGCTTTTGTATGATAATTCTAAATTTACCATTTGCTTCAAGCTTCCTATTCTACTTCAGACCTAATGATCCCCCTGTACTAAACAGAGGACATTGCCTTTTTAAGTCATGGAGAAAATAATTGCCATATAATGTGAACAGCTCTAACACTAACATCCTCTTCCATAACCTCATTGGGCTTTTCCTTTACATGTTCGTTTGGCTTTTTTCCTATCAGAGAGGAAGCACTTTTCTTCCTCATTTCTGAGATTAACCTCTCTTCTTATGCTCTTTATGCCATCTCCTGTATCCTTTGAGATCTTGTGCCATTATTTATTCACTCTTGGGTATGTTTAATTTCTTGGTGTCTTTGAGTTCCTCTCCACTGCTTTTAACAGTGCTCAAATCTGATCCACCTTAAAGTAGCTTTTCTTCCACAGGGCTTCACCTTGGAGTTGCTTTTATCACTTTCCTTTTTTCACTTAGTCCCTTATAGTGTACAGATTTTAGTTATATTCTAATGAAACTAATGTTCTTAAAGTCATTTAGTAGTAACAATTATGATGGTATTGATATAAGAATAGTTATTATTTAAACCCTGTTTATGTGCACATCACTATTCTTTGTACCTTACATTATCTTACTCTTTGTACCTTACCTTATCTCACTTAATTCTCACAACAACCCTATGAGGTAAGAAACTGTATGAGGTAGTATATTGTGGGGTCAAGAGCTTTGAACACCAGTTACATGGGTTTGAATCTTACTTATATTGCTTAACTAACTGTGGGACCTTAGATATGTTGTTTGACCTCTTTGTCTTAGTTTCCTTATCTATAAGTTGGAAATAGTACCTTCCTACTTACCTCAAAGGGAAACAAACATAAAGAGATTAACTGACCCAATATCACACAGATTTGCATAATGATGTAGATTAGAACCCAAATAGTTCTGTTAAACTACTTTGCTGTCTTTTTCAGTGCTGTTGGTGACTCAGTTGATGAGGCCCACAGTGTTTAACTAAGTTTTATTTCATCATTCTCCTATTTGTGCCTACTCCCTAAATGTTGTTTTTTTGAGGTTTGATCCTCTGCCTCCTTTCCTTCTTCCTTTGTTCTTTCCTCTAGGACCAGAAGTTTAAGTTATTAATTTCTAAAATCTCTATGCTAGACTTCTCTTCTGAGTTCCAGATCCTTGATTCCAAATTCTTGATCTCTCATAAGAATCCTAAACTCAATTTTTTTGGCAGTTGAGTAATGTGATTTGAATATTTCATCTCTGATTAAAATATATATATAGTTTTTTCTCCTAATGTGGCTGAAGAAAAGCTAGTTCTAGGAGTGGGAAACACGTTGGTTCTCCATTTCTTGTTCACTTGTGCTTACATGAATATTTCTGCAGTTTATTTCTGTGAAAGAATCTTTTAAAGTGATTATTTTGTGAGAGTTAGATTACCTTAAAGTAGATGTTATCCTTAAATCCATTCACCTAAACTATGATACCTTGCAATGTGCTGAAAGAGAATTGAAGAGTATGAGAATACAACTGTCAATCTCTCTACATTGTGGAGTCCTACGGTGAAGTATATGTTATATGACAGCAGACATCCAGACTGAGAGAGGATGCAAGTGTAAGTTTATATATTATTAGTAAATATTAATTTCTTCTTTGTTTCTTTAGATTAAAAATAAATATAAATGGAATTTCTTTTTTTCTGCATTCTAGTGGTATAGGTATTATGCCTACTCTATAGGATAAAGTTTAAATTGCCCACCGTGGTATACAAGTCCCTGTACAGTTTTGTTTTGCCTTATGTTTCCAGCTGCTTTTCACTTACGTGCCCCCTCCTCCTCTCATACCATATCTTGTAGCTTCATTAAACTATTCATATCTCCTTTATTTACATTGTTCTGTTAGTCTGAAATGTCCTTACTTTTTATCTCTTCATGGCAAAAATCTGCATATCCTTCATGAACCAACATACATATTACCTGTCTTGAGGAGCTTTTCCTGAGAATATAGTATAGTATAGTGGTTAATACCATAGGCTGTAGTCTGTGACTAATGGGGGTATCTGTCTATATTTTAATCTTGGATTATTATTTGAAAGGTCTCTTGCTTTGGACAAACTACTTAACTTTCCTATGCTTCATTTTCCTGTCTGCAAAAGTGGGATAATAATATGATCAATTTTATTAGTTGTTGTGAAGGTGCTTTCAATGAGATTATAAGTGGAATTACCTGACACATTCTTTATAAAAAATTCTTTATAAATGACACCCACTATTATTAATTCTAAGATGCTATTCTTTTTTTTATATTTTAATCTTGTAATCAAGATGTATATTTAATGCTCCACAAAGTTATAATTAAATTGAAAGTGCACTTTTATTGTTGATGACATTGTAGAATTGAGAACATATCTTGGTGGATACCTTTTTGTGCTGTGACTATTTGTACATACCTGTCTTAGCATTTTATATTTTATTTATATAGATGTTATTTTGTATCTTATCCATTTCCTCTTTTGTCCTGTGAATTCCTCAAGGTTAAGGATCACTGTTTGTACCTGTAGTGTGTAAACATTACCTGGCATATAGTAGACTGTACTATAGTAGATGTTGATTGAAAGAGTAAATGAATTTACTTATTTTTTGTACTACCACAAGAGAGTCTTTTTCATCAGGCTTTGACTTTTTCCCCCCTGCTAATAAGGAGTTTGACATCTTTTAACACTCAAATATAGAGTCATTGGATTTGCCTTTTGCTATTCCTCAGGACTGTACCAAGACTTTGCTTAGTTTAACATAGATAATGTTTAAAGTATAAAATAATTCATGTGCTTAAAAGTTAAATACAAATGGAGATTCTGCTTTTATTTTGCAAGAACGTTTACTGAAGATGACCTTAGAAGAGAGACGTAAAGAATACCTAAGGGACTATGTTCCCTTGAACACCATTCTGTCATGGAAGGAGGAGATGAAGGGCAAGAGCCAAAATGATGGTAAGTTTCTCAGAACATTTTTTAGGTAGATACTGCTCCCATTTATTTGTGACTCCTACAGGCCAGTTGTTGACAGAAATGAATATCTGGCATTCAGTAAAGAGATGACACTTTTACTATTTTGCTATTTGAAATTATTGCTTGGTTGTCATTTGTTTTTAGTAATCATGTGTTTTTTAAGTTTAGGAATATATATTAACATAATTTGTGTTCTGAAATATACTACCCTTATAATATGGTACTTTTTTACAGGTCCTTTTTGTTTGTTTGTTTTTACTATTCTGCAACAGTTCCTTGGAGCAAATGCTGTTAACCATTGCTGCTTTGGTGGTGTGGCATTTTGAGCTTGCTTTGATCAGGTTCATTTTATAATGGATTTCCTTAAGTTATTTTGAGGATTAGATATAGTTTAAAGAGAGTGTATTAGGAAGATAGAGAAAAACCAAGTAATATTTCTTATCATTTTAGAGAAAAAAATACATTCTGTATAGTGTGGTGTTATGTCTACATGTAAAGTATTTGCATGATGAAATTTACTCTCTTCAAGTCCTTATGATTTGATGAGAGTCAAGATTGTATAGAATATAAATGAAGTTTTAAGGATTAAAAGGGTACCTGACAAAGTTTCTAAAAACAACATAATGGATTTAATGGATGTTTAATATGCTTGCTTCTGAATTAACACACATTGGTGTTAATGATCTGGATGTGAAGTTTAGTCAAATGGTACTTTTTAGGCCACTTAGCAGTTGAAAAAGAAAGGACTTTATAAAATGAATTTGGAACATACCAATTTCACAGATTGTGGTCTTAGATTGATGGAACTATGCAGGGTATTATGGTTCCAGAAAATGAAGACTAGCATGGACTACCTATGAATAAAATCTTTGGCGAACAACAGCCAAATTAGTTTTTGGTATCTGTGTAGAAAACACATTTATCTGAGGGTTTGAGCTTTAGACAGAAATTTGGTTTTCTAGAAAGGCAAAGCATGTGCAGTTAGGAGTGAAAAGGTGTGGGTTCTTTTAGACCTTATGCCGCCTGGAAAGGTGACTTTGGGTAAGTGGGGGTAGTGGCTCTACCCCAAGTTTTAATGTGGTCACTGGACACGCAGATGGGGATGTGTACACCTGACCTGCCTGCCCAGTGTCATCAGTAAATGCATGTTGTTTTAATAATGCTCTAATTAACACGTCATTGAGAGGGAAGGGAGTTTTGTGTAATGAAAAGAATACAGGGCTTGAAATCAATGGGACAGAGTTCTGGGCCTTGTCTGACCTAGCACTATGTGCCTCTTCATGTTTGGGTCTCAGTAATTTCTTTTGTTTATAAGCAACTGGTATTGAATACTTCAGCTCCAGTTTCCTTTTTTTCTTTTTCTTTTTATAATGGCTACAGGTTGAGTATCTCTCATCTTAAATACTTGGGACCAGAAGTATTTTGGATATTTGATCTTTTGGATTTTGAAATATTTGCATTATACTTACCTATTCAGTATCCTTAATCTGAAAATCTGAAATTCAAAATGCTCCAATGAGTATTTCTTTTGAGCATCGTGCTGATACTCAAACGTTTCAGATTTTGAAGCATTTTGGATTTCGAATGTTTGGATTAGGGCTATTCAACCTGTAGTAAATAGGTCCCCCAAATCAGAAAAGGTACAGTGAATAACACCTGACATGGTTATTCTCTAACAAATTGCTATATATTTAATCCTACCTCTCAGTATGAGCTTTATAAGTGGTTTACAACTGCTCTATGTATTTCTTTTTTTTTTTTCCCCCCTCATGTTTTTTTAAACTTGAAAGTCCTCCCTGGGGAACTGGGTGATGTGATCAAAATTCTATTTCTATTATACAGTGCTTTATTTTTTCTGCCTAATATCTAAAATGTTTTTTATTCCTCTCTATTGTGATGTAGAAATGGTGACTTTTTTTCATGAAATGGAATGGCTCATTTTAGAAGTAATATTTGTTAATTTCTTTATATAATACACATCTCTCATATGTGCTTCTTGTGTTACCTATTCATTACTCAGTTATAATGAAATATTTGTCAGGAGAGTTTTAATATTTTAATAGTTTAAAATATCCTTTAAAAATATAAATTTACAAAAAAATGATAGATGACCACTGTACATATTTGAAATATTTAAGTCATTGCTTATAAATGTACATGTATAGAAGTAGGTATCGATATTTATAAGTTTAATTTTTTAAATATGAGATTTCCAACTAAGTATTAAAAGAAGCCTACTTATAATTCCTTGTCATTTAGTTTCTAGTCATAGTAAATGAACAGTATTTATTTGGCTAAGATAATATACCAATTTTAAATTTAATAGTTTATCATTACTTCTGTTTTTATAGAAGGCCATTTTGGCTTTAATACCTATGATTACATGAAAAATTCTTGAGTGATTTTAATTTTTTTCTTACTTTGCTCAAATTTCTTTTACTTTATGCTTCTTGTTATAGTAGAAATTTAAAGAGAGAGCAGTGGCTGAATGTGTTTGTAACAAACTGACTTTAAGCCTTCCTAAAACAAAAGGAAACCAAAAATTGCCGAACAACATAAAACAAATGTTTGTATGGAAAGAAGGAAGCAAGTAGGTGATATTTTTACTTTGGCATACTACTTTGGTAATACTGTAAAGCTATGGATCATAAGAGGAAAGAATGGGAGATGATTACCAAAAGAAAAAACAAACCAAGTCGCCCGCAAAAACCCATTAAGTACATCATTTGGTTATTGTTTATGTTCATATTTGTCAATTATTATTAGCAAATCTCTGGAATTATATGCATCTAATTACTTTTTCCTCTGTATTAGCAATTATATAGTAATTTCACTTGTCAGTTGCTATGTTGTAGAGATTTTTTAAATGTTTGTCTCTCCTATTATACTATATCTTTAGCACCTAGAATGGTGGGCTCAATCATGTTAAATAAGAGTGCCTCAGTGGTTAATAGTCTACAACGGACAATTCTTTCTTTTTTCTCCCAAACTTTGGGAGAATATAAGTGGCCCAAATAATGGCCACTTAAAAATATATGTAAAAATAGAGTACAGTCAGGCATCCCATCATATTTTGGGCAACAGTGGATCATACATATGATGGTGGTCTTATAAATGTATAATATTGTATTTTTACTGTACCTTTTCTATGTTTACATATGTTACACAAATACTATTGTCTTACATTTGCCTAAAGTATTCAGTACAGTAACATACAGTACAGGTTTATTGTCTAGGAGCAATTGGTATACCATATTGCCTAGGTGTGTAGGCTATACCAACCTAGATTTGTGTAAGTACATTCTATGGTTTTCACACAATGACAAAGTCACCTAATGATGCATTTCTCAGAACATATCTCTGTTCAGTGATGTGTGTAGTATAATGTGTGTAGTATAATTCATTCATCATGTCATTTCAAAAGTAAAAAAATGGCCAGTTTTATTTCATTTGTACCAGTGCTTTCTGCACCTTTCACGCAGACTGTTTGGAAGCAAATCGAGTACATATCAATTTTATCTGTAAATGTATGTGTGTATGCATATATATGTACCTCTAAAAGGTAGAGACATATTTTTATTTTAATATAACCACAATACTATTATTACATATAAAGTTAATAATTTCTTAATGTAATTATATATCCAGTTGGTATTCATGTTTTTCCTGTTGTCTCATAAAGGGTTTGTTTTTTGTACAGTTGATTTGTTTGAATCAAGATCTCAACAAGGCTCACATATTGCATTTAATATGTTTCTTAAGTCACTTTTACTCTATGGTATTTCTCTCTCATGTCTTTTCCCTCCCTTATAATTTATTTGTTGAATAAATTAGATTCATTTATCCTGTAGAATTTTTCATATTTTGAATTTTGCCGACTGCATCTCTGTGGTGTCATTTAATATGTTCTTCTGTCCCTTCTGTTTTTTAGGAGTTTGTAGTGAAATCCAGAGGCTTGTTCAGACTTGGGTTTAAATTTTTTTTGAAAGAATACGTTATAGATTATTGTGTATCCTTTTGCATCATATCACAAGGCAGATAATGTCTGATTGTGTCTCTTTGTGGTGATAAGATTGATCCCTGGGCTTGTTAATGGAAAAAGACCCAAATTCGGTAAAATAGTTTAAAGATGTTTATTCTGAGCCAAGTGTGTGTGACAGGCCTGGAGCATATAGGCTGAGAAAATGTGCCTCTGGTATCTGGGTTACAGTTTGGTTTTATACATTCATGGAGCCAGGAATTACACGTAAGACCCTAAGTCAGTATGTGGAGGGTGTACTGTGGAGGATGCATGGTACATTGGTTTGCTGGAATGGTGGGACATTTCAAATTTCAAAGTAGAGGAAGAGGCTTACAGGTTCTATGTAAGTTTAAAGATTTGAAATTGGTTAAAAAAATGAAGCTTTGTCTAAAGGCCACCAGACATTTACCAAAATTCAGGTGATAAGTAAAACTGATGGTCTATAGATGTGGTTTAAACTTTGTCTTGTATAGCCTTAAGCCTGTTAATGATTTAGCATCTTATTGTTACAAAGGATATCTTCTAGAAGGGAGGGGGCATGACCAGGCATATCTGATCTTTCTTCTCATGGCCAGCAAGTCAACTTGAGGGTTTTTTGGGGGTCCCCTTGGCCAAGAGGGTGTCCATTCAGTCAGCTGGGAGGCTTAAGATTTTATTTTAGTTCACAGGTTCAAATATTGTCAGTCTGATCTATCTGGCGTAAAATTTCCTACCAACTTTTTACCTAATAGTCACAGCAGCCATTGATGGTTGTTGCCTAGATCCATTATTTTATTAGGAGTTGCAAAATAGTGTGCTTTGAATTGCATCATTCCTGTATTTATTAATTGGACTTCCATAAAGAGGAACTTTCTCTTATCAAGTCTTTTATTATCTAGTACAGTTTATACAGGAAAGGCCAAATGCTAGTTTCCTTTATTTACCAGTTTTCAGATTGAGTTCATTATCAATTCTGCAAAGA